GATGATGACAAACAAGAATCAAGATTAAGATCAAATAAAAAACAAACAATTAATCAACAACAAGAACTAAAGAAATCAACCAAAAAACATCAAGAAGAAAATATTGAATCTACTTCAACTTCAACTAATACAATTAAAAGGAAATACATTCCACCAAACAATTCTTCAGATAATCCAACAAACTCATCAAAAGATACTAGAAATCAATTAGATAGTAACATCGAAGATTATATTCTATCAACAAACTAATTAAAATTATGCATTGTAATATTACCTCAATTAAAAAGCACAAAGAAGAACTATGTGTACGTTTTAAAAACTTCGATATACTATCTATCAATGAAACGAATCTAAAACCTCAGCACCATTTTTCACTACCAGGATACAATATTTTTAGAAACGACAGAAAAGATCGACAAGGAGGTGGAGTGATGCTGGCAATACGAAATAGTATAAAATGTTACGAAAAATTGAACACGACAGTTGAAGGCAATGAAGCAGTTGCAGTACAAATAGAAACATCATTTGGACATCTTCTCATAGCATCTATATATATTCCACCAAGTATAAAACTCCATCACGAACTTTTTGAACGAATATATGATTTAAATAATGATTGTCTTATTCTTGGTGATCTCAATGCTTCTCTTCAATGTATGGGATCGAAAAAAACCAACGCAAAAGGTCTCCAACTACAACAAGTTCTCTACGAAGGTTATCTTCAATGCATAGATAACATTCTCACTACATATATCAGGAACAATTACGAAGAAAAAATCGATTGGATTTTGGCAAGTCAACCTACTATCACATTTATTAACAATGTTGAAACTCATGCGCCATTCGGACTCAAAGAAGATCATAAGCCATTAATATTTAATCTAAATATGTCAGCTGAATTAAAACCGCAATCTCCTCGAAATTCCTTTAACTTCAAATTGGCCAACTGGCAGCTTTATCGTGATAAACTAAATAGTCTTCTGAGCAAAATCGATCAGAAGAAAACAATCTCTACACCAGAAAATATTGAATCATATGCATCAGCACTTACAGAATGTATTGCTATTGCAACTAAATCAGCAATTCCTTCAACGAACGAAACATTAAAAAATTTCAAAATTTCAAAAACAACAAAAAAACTAATTGAATGTAAACATCGAGCTTTTAGAAAATGGAGAAGAACGAACACTGAAAATGATAAAAAAGAATATTATAATAGTAGAGAACTGGTAGCAAATGCTCTTCGAAATGAACGAATTGAAAAAATGAACCAATTAATGGCTTCATTAAGAGAAAACAAGATGAGTTCAAATAAAGTATGGGCAACTGTTCGTAAATTTCACAACAAGAGAATGAAGCAATCACATACAGGTGAATTATTATACCAAAACCAAATAGGCAACACTGACTATGAAAAAGCCAATTTATTTGCATCATATTTCGAGAATGAAATATTCGTCGAAAAACCCGATCATCTACCTTTCCACAATCAAGTGAGGAAAAAGGTGGAAGGAATTAAAAGCAGATTATCAAGAGCAGACAACACAAATAAAACATCTCCAATAACTAAGAAAGAAATTAAATCAATATTGAAACAACTTCCGAACAGCTCTCCCGGTCCTGATTCTATACATAATCGCTGTCTCAAAAACTACACACCATCGTTGATTCACCATCTAGAAAAGATTTTCAATTCAATTATCAATATTGGATATATCCCACGTATTTGGAAAAAAGCTAACATCATTCTTTTACTCAAATCAAAAAAAGATCCAAAACAACCGTCAAGCTATCGACCAATAAGTTTACTAAGTTGCATAGGAAAAGTTCTAGAGAAAATTATCAAGCAGAGGATGTTTAAAGAATTAACCGAAAGAAATATTTTGCCATCACATCAAGCTGGTTTTCGACCACATAGAAGCACCATGTACAATATTATTCGACTCGAACGATATGCTCGAGAACAATTGCAAAAACGTCGGCACTCAGCAGTAATTTTTTTTGACATAAAAGCGGCTTTCGATACTGTATGGTTTGATGGAATAATTTACAAGTTATTTGATCTACGATTACCAGATTACTTAATATGTTTTATTATTTCGTTTCTTGATAATCGAACTGCTTCAATAGAAATAGAAAATACTTTATCGAAATCGATTTTATTAAAAAGTGGAACACCTCAAGGTTCACCACTATCACCACTACTATACATTGTATATACGAGTGATTCGATGAACAGTATCCATCATCATACCGAACATGGATTGTTTGCTGATGACACAGCACTGTGGACAACATCAAATACCATTACAAACCTAAATTATCGGCTTCAATCGTCAATCAACGAATTTCAAAAATGGTGTAGTTCGTGGAAGTTGACAATTCAACCCACAAAGACTGAGCTAATATATTTCAGCCCTCATCCACGAAAAAAATATAGAAAAAAATTAGAAATTGAAGTAGAAGATGTAGTCATTCAACCAACATCTTCGGCCAGATACCTGGGCGTTATATTTGATCATAAATTAGATTGGAGAACTCAAGTTAAACACGTGGAAACGAAAGTGGCATCAAGAATTAATCTCCTGAGATTTCTGTCTAAATTAAACCCAAATGCTAATCTCAATACGATGCTCACTCTATATAAATCATTAGTCCGGTCTGTTATAGCTTATGGATCTATTATCTTATTAACAGCTAAAGAAAATATATGGAAACGTTTACAAACAATACAAAACAAAGCATTAAAAGCCACACTAGGTTTTCCTATATATACATCAACTAAATATGTTCATAGTATAAGTAATATACAAGAAATCAAGACATACTCAATAACACTTTTGGAACAATCAATTATACGAGCTAGAGCCTATAAAGATTCAATAACTGAAAATAATCTATTAAAGATTCAACTACATATTGAACGGAGTGATTAATAAACCAACCTTCTCTTATTAGGGCATAAGACTGATGTCAAGAGTCCTAAATTTCTCTTCCTTTTCTCCTTTTCTCCTTATTTTCCTTTTGTTTTGCTTTTCTCTCTCCTTTCCCGTTATTTCTTCTCTTGTGTAGATTTATCTAATTTTACTAAATAAATCGTTGGCTCCAAAAAAAAAAAAACGACAAAAACATTTCTTCGAAGCACAATGACATTTGCCAAAAATGAAAAAATGAAAAAATCGGTTTGAATTTTTTTTTGTTTTCTCTGAAGAAATATTAATGAAATATTTTGTAGAAAATCAATATAATTTATTAATATTTTACTGATCTTAGTTCATCATCTTCATCAAGTTCATCGAAAAAATCTTCATCAAGTAGTGTTAGTACTACTAATAAAAAACAAACAAATTCATCAGTTACAACAAATGAAGAAGGAACAATAAATAGTCCATCATCACAGAAAGATTAACAATATCCGCGATGCATTACGAAATTTGAAAATTTCTTCGATTCCAAAGTAGATTACCAATTCTGTTCATTTTTTTTGATTGTTTATTTTTTTTTTGAATGTAGATTAAATGATGATCAAGGAAAATTATATGAAGAATTATTATCTGAACAACAAGATTTAAATAATCATATTCCATTACATATTGTTCGTCTTCAACAATTTGAAAATCAGTTAAAACAACAACAATCTTATTCAACAAATAAAAAAATATTAAATGAAATTATTGAATTTATTCAAAATAAATTTTTACTTTTATTTGATGAAGATTCGATTTTATAATTTTTTGGCCAAAAAAAATTATCATCAAATGACAAAGATATTCAAATTATTAAAAAGTATTTTAGTCAAAGAAAAACAACTTTTTTTTAGAGAATTTTTTTTAGTGATATGGAAAAACATCTTAATTGGTTAATTGATATATATATATCATTAGAAATGTGTTTATGTGATTTATCAGCAAATACTGATGATCATTCAGGATATTTAATAAATATTCTTAAAAGTTTACAAAAACATATTGATATAAATGATGGAAAATTAGCAAACTTCCTTTATAAATATTATTCAATTAAAAAATTCTTATGATCGTCTTTGGAAATTATTTTTAAAACAAATTGAAGAAAAATCTTCATCACAACAACAAGAAAATGATCAGAAATTACTTCAAATAAATTTTGTTTTTTTTTCTCTTTTAATTTTCTTTCAAATTTATTTTTCTTTTAGCTTTATCAAACAATGAATATGAAATATTTAATAACATATCAAGAACGTTTAATCATTGCCAAATATCCTCAAGTTTATGTTTTATTTTAAGCTTTTTTTTGTCAAATTTCATTTTGATAAATTAAGAAAATATTCGATCATACAGCAAATGTTTTTCTCCTTGTCTGTTCTTAATGATCAATTCTCATCAATTTAAAAAGAAACAAATCATTTCTTTTTTTTTTATTTCTAGATTTAATCATGACTGATGATGAAAGTACTTTTGATATTCACCTTACCAACTTGTTGGTAAGTTCTTTGATAGATTTCAGTTTCTTTTTTTCTAATAAATTTAATTGTTTGATAGATTGATTAGTTGATCGTCGTTATTTTTCAAAAGATTGGAATGAACTATCAGTGGCTATTCGAGCGAAAATTCAACAAACGATTTTAAATATACTGTTAACGGTGATATATAAACACCATCACGATCATACCCTCGATTACTCTTTCTTCTGTTGTTAACATATATCCTCTCTCTTGTTATCATGTATTCACTCTCTCTTCTGTGGTTATCCTTTATTCTCTTTCTTTATTTTTCGACCATATATATATGTGTGCAAGTGTGATTATTATATAGATATAGAGAATAAACTAAAAGCTCGTCAGATACGAGCTAACATATACCAGAACATGATGAAATCAAAAGATTACTTGGCTCTTCATGTACGAATATTCTTTCTTATTTAGTTTTTATTATTGATTTAATTCATAGATTTGGATTATTTTTGTTTTGTTAAAGTTGTTGAAATATTAAAAGAAACAGAAAACGAAAGTAAAAATATGTATGTTTGGCATGTATTCATCACAACGAATGAAGGTTTTTTTTTTTTTGTTATTATATTTGACTTTTCCATTTCATATATTCGACTATTTGTCTAGGACTGGAGAATTATTGTGTCAATTTACGAAAAGAATTTGGTTTATCTTGGTTTATTTTTCTTTTTTTTTAAATCTTTGTTAGTATTTAATTTGTATAGTTGAATGTGCTCAAATTCTTCAACCAAATGTAACTTTTGAAATTCCTGCATTGAAAAAACCAATAAATAAATGTCAACAAATTCGAGAAGAATGTCATACACGTCATGAAGAATTAGATAAAAGTATTCATAAAATTGAAAAACAATATGCATAATTGTGTAATGATATGTCAATTATAGTTAGTTTACTATTCTATACTATTTTCTATTTACTATTTAATTTAGGGTGAAAATGTTCAAAGAGAATTAATTCAACGTATTGAATATTTACCAAATATATGCACAGAATTAGCTAATGGAAAGGATAATTCAATTCTGTTATTAAAATCTGCTTTTGATTTTTATAAAGAATTTATGGAACATTTTCATTCATCATCGAGATCTTATAATGAAGAATCCTTACCTAAATATTCATGAAAATATTTTTTTCTTTATTTATAAAAAAATATTCTATCATTTTTTTTGGTTCTTTTTTTCCGTCTCTTTATGAAAGTGTATTTTTAGATTTGATCTACATTCATTTTTTATTCGATTAAATAACAAATGGTTTCATTAGTCGATGCAACTAAAGATAAATATGCAACAGCTATTTTAAATCGAGAATTACAGCCTATTCAATTAATTATCGATGATGCTGATGGTGTTGTTAAAGATAATAATATTGCCGTTGCATTATCATTGTTCGCAAGGGATAAATTAGGATTATCTTTAGGTGATACGGTCATGCTTAAAGGTGAAAAACGTCGAGAAACAGTTTGCATCGTTAAATTTGATATTTGTCCAACTAATCATATTCAAATGAATCGTGTTGTACGAAATAATTTACGTGTACGTTTAGGTGATATTGTTTCAATTCAAGGTTGTCGAGATGTTGAACATGGTAAATATATACATGTTTCACCTGTTGATGATACTGTACAAGGAATAACAGGCAATCTATTGGAAGTTTATTTAAAACCATATTTTGGTAAATTTCATCGACCAGTACATAAAGGTGATGTTGTTATTGTACATGCAGCTATGCATGCTGTAGAATTTAAAGTCATTGAAACTGAACCAAGTCCTTACTGTATTGTTACATTAGATACAGTTATACATTGTTATCCAATTAAACATGAAGAAGAAGAAATATCTTTAAATGAAATTGGTTATGATGATATTGGTGGTGTTAGGAAACAATTAGCACAAATTAAGAAAATCGTTGAATTATCACTAAAACATCCGCAACTATTAAAAACAATTGAGGGTGTGTGGGTGGGTGTGGGTGTGGGTGTGGGTGTGGGTGTGGGTGGGTGTCGTTATTGAAGCGATTACGGACACCCACACCCTAAATTCATGAAGACCTAAATATAAATAAAATAGTTAGATAACATTTTATTTATATTAACTGACTTACCAGCTTCCTTAATGTAAATTAAGGAAGACCTAAATGTAAATAAAATAGTTAGATAAAAATTTTTTAAGATTCATTGACTAACCCGTTTTGCGAATCTACATTCATAAAGATCTAGATATAAATAAAATAGTTAGATATAATTTTAGTTAAACCCATTGACTTACCAGATTTGTGAATCTAAATTCAAGAAGACCTAAATATAAAACAAAAGCATTAGAAATAAACATAACCAAATTAATTGAGTAACCAGTTTTGTGAATGTACATTCATGAAGACCTAAATATAAGTAAAATGGTTAGATATAATTTTATTTCAATTCATTGACTTACCAGCTTTGTGAATGTAAATTCAGCAAGACCTGAACATAAAACCAAATCATTAGATATAAATTTATTTGTATTAATTGACGTACTAGTTTTGTGAGTGTACATTCATGACGACCTAGATATAAACAAAATAGTTAGATGTAATTTTATTTATATCAATTGATGTACCAGGTTTCTGAATGTATATTCATGAAGACCTAAATGTAAATAAAATAGTTAGATATAATTTCATTTATATTAATTGACTTACCAGCTTTGTGAATCTAAATTCAGCAAGATCTAAATTTAAAACAAAATCATTAGATATAACTTTATTTATATTAATTGACTTACCAGGTTTCTGAATGCAAATTTATGAAGAGCTAAATATAAATAAAATAGTTAGCTATATTTTTTTTTGAGATTCAATGGCTAACCAGTTTTGTGGATGTGGGTGGGTGTGGGTGTGCGGTATGGGTGTAGGAAAGAGAAGATCAACACCCACACCGACACCAACACCCACCCACGCCCACACCCACATAAGTTGTAATTATTTTCGTGAAGATAATAAAATTTAGCCAAATCAGATCAATGTTGGGTTTACATTAGGCACAATAAGAATAATTTACAACAAAGCTTCTTGTAAACTTATTTTTTTCATATTCTCTAAAGTA